TAACAATTTTATGTTTTGGTCAAGTTTTTGGACAAAATAGCACATCACAGATGAGTAGTATGAAATCTGACGATTCTTTCTGTTTTTAGTTTGGCTGATAAATGTTGTAAGTTTTCTCATTTTAAAATTAAAAAGAAAACAAACAACAACAAAAAAACCAAAACACGGATGTTTCCAGTATTTTGCCCACACTGTTGTTACTACAGAGGGACACAAGATTGCAGGTGTTTTTTTTAATAATGATACCTTATTTTAATTATTTCAATATTTTAACATCAAAGAATCTGTCAAGTATTTTTAAGATAACAAGCAACAGAGGGACACTTCAAATGTGTTGAGACCTGAATAGTCAAAAACACAGAAAAATTTTGTTTTAAAACCTTGAACAGAGAATTTTGCCTTTTTGCTTGATTACACAACTAACAATCGTTTAAATCATTGCCAATAATTGTTCTGTTGGTTGAACAACTCAAGAATGATTCTGTTCGTCCATCACTGCTCTTTTTCATGTGAATGTCTTCCTGTAGAGCACAGTTTGGCTCTGGATGGTTTTAAGCATTCACATGATTTTTTTTTTTACCCATTTAATGTAAAAAAAAAAGTTCAGGAGGACATTGAGGGTTGCTACTATACGGAATGTTTTCTAACTTCCTGCGTGTTCATGAAAATTGTCATTCAGTAGAAAGATGTTTTAGGATTCATGCCTTCCTAGAGTACCTGGGGAATGGAATTTGTCGTAGTTACAGCCTCTCCTGGTTTAAAACGGCTTCTCTATCACAAACCATTTTTCTGTTTAAGGTCGAGCATCAACACATCGTCAACTAAATATATATTTTTGCAAGTTAGACAGTGTGCTGGACTGAAACTTTTTGATCTATTCGCCCCTTTACTCTGAACCTGTCCCATGAAATAGATGAGTGAACTGTTCCTTTATCTTAAATCACAGCATAGATATTGATTTATCAGTCGAATAATCAACTTCTTCCTTCCCAGTTTTAACAGATTTCTAGAAATGTATCAAATCATAGCACAAAATCTCTGAGTTTCACATGTTTAAAGACTCAACTTGACAGTCTGATATCACCTGACATCAGCTCCTAGTTTAATGTCATTTATTTCTTACCGATACACAGGAAGCAGCTGCTGGCTCTTTTCTGCTCCTCCTCTTCTTCCTTCTGACTTTTCCAACCTCTGGCTCTGCAGCCACCTTCATCTCCTCCTCCTCCTCCTCCTCCTCCTCCTCCTCTGCTCCTCCTGCTACTTCCACATTAAAGTTGACATCAATGATGCTGGTCCTCCGGGATGATGAAGGTCTCCTGATCTCTGCAGGCACCTTCCGCTTTAAAAGAGCCAACAGAGGTTTATTAGGC